TACGTCACATTGGCTGTCATACAGGGGCCATCTCAGCAGGATATAAGGACACAGAGTCCACCATTTTCTCCAGGGGAACTGATCTCTGCCATCTGGAAAGCAGTTTTATTTCTGAGTTATCTTTAGCCTTCACCTGGAGATTTGCAACCATGGTTTCCCCCAACAGACACTAAGGGGAAATTAATTTTACCTCAGAACTTCAATAGCAAACTGTTTAGAATGTTAGAGGGAAAGGCCAGTGAGGCCGCATATGCAAATGACCTCTGTGTTCCGAGGCAAAGGCGAATCAGGCCACATATGCAAATGACCTCTGTGTTCTGACTGGCTGTGGGGGGGGGAGAGGAAGAGCAAACTGTTTAGAATGTTGGAGGCAGGACTCAGGCAAAGCAGCCAGTGGATAGGGAGACCCTCTGAATGACAGATCAGAGAACGAACTGATTTTGGAGCGTGTTGGAATGTTCAGGGGAGTCCATGACCAAAATAGAATTATATATACCGGAGGGGATATATATATGAAATGCTACATATGATTGTCAAAAAGTGTAGACTGTCACATAGAATTGATAGCTTTTGTGATAAATGTTGACAATCTTTAATTTCACAGTGTATGTATGTATATATATATGTGTGTGTGTATAGATAGATAGATAGATAGATAGATAGATAGAGATAGAGATAGAGATAGAGATAGAGATAGAGAGAGAGAGAGAGAGAGAGAGAGAGAGAGAGAGAGAGAGAGAGAGATTCCCTGTCCCCCAGGTTGTATTGTTGTTCCAAAATGTCTGTAATATGCACTACTTAAAAATAGTATTAATGACTAGGGATACATCAGTGAGGGTGAAAGATAGTGAAGTGAGACGAGGAATTATATCTATATATAAGCCATGCATAAATGTAAATGACGGCAGGCAATGGTGGAAGTGAATAGCTCAAAATCATGAGAGAGAAAAGGACAGATACCTACCCCAACCTGCGCTATCTAGCTATCGCCCTGTGGACTTACAGTTTCACCAATGGGCTCACCAAATGGATCACTGTTGGATGAGGCCTGAGATCCATCAGGCTAGAATATAAGAACATAACATCTTTTTTCTCAGCAATAGAAATTGAAACAAAGTCAGAGATTATTTTCATGTTATCTGTTCACTTCATCGTGAATACTACTGATAAAAGTTATACTATGAGAGATATTTCTAGGACTAAGTCCACTGGATAGGGTAACAAAGCTAACTGAGGGAGAGTTTTTTTGAATCACAGCTTTCTATTTCTGTTTCAAAATGCCTTGTGTGTGGATACATTTTACACTTGCCCAATTAGGGGCTCCAGTTTGTGGTGAGATAGCTGCCATGGTCAGAGTCTGACTGTTCGCATTATAACACATTTATAACACCTACATTTTTTTTCAGAAATACAAAGCAATCCAGGTGTTCCCATACACAGCTTGTTGAAGGACAGAAGCCATGATAAAAGTAAACTGAACTCTAACACAATAAAGCCAGGGTTTGTGTGCATTAGCCTGCTTGTAGGTGGATTTCTCATTTTTGTCTCACAGTACCAAATTCACTTTATTTATTTTGGCCCAACAAGTTGTACAGAAGCCTCACAGAATCTAAGGAAAAAAGCCATGCTCTGAGGGTATATGGGGAGTATGTCCTAAGATGTCATCAGTCATTCCCCTGCATTTACCATGCAAAGAGGCAGCTATCTTGAGGGATCAAAACTGGCTCTGTCCTCGGGCTGAAATGGCAGATCTAAACAGCTAGCCAACAAAGTTGTAGGTAACATCATGCTGTTGCTGTCTCCTGATAAGAGTTATGCTAGCAGTCACTACTTGTGTCATTCAATTTAAGCTGTAAAGTTAGACTGATCAACTACATTTCTTCTCATTGGCACCACCCACTGCTCTGTGTTTAGTTTTATTTCCCAAATGTCATTAACAGAATGCCCTTGATCTCTAGTACTGGGTCAGTATTATGATGAGCAAAATAACCTGTGCCTTTTCTGTTCCTTATATCTTATTCTGAAGGCACAGTTGTGGCATCATCAAAGGATCATTTTGTGTCATACAACGTTCCTGGTTTTTAAATCTACTTTGCAGCAACTCGTTCTAAATCCTGCCACTTCTAAGAGGTGCAGACACACACTAATAGACCAGGAAAGAGCATTTCAATAGAAAACTGTAGCAGACAGGAATACACAAATAGACTGAATAAGCTAACATGTAGATCTCAGTGATAAGCTAATGTGTGTTGTCTTCTATTTTAATTCATATAATTTTGCTTCAGTAGCACATCATTCCAAAGTCAGAAATAGTTTCAAACTATAAGCACACTTCTGTGATGATGGGGAAAGTGGAGGATGGGATTACAGTGTAGAGAGAGAGTTAAAAAACATTCTGATTTCCTTAATTTACATTAGTTGTGAGCAGCCAAGAGAACGTTCTGAAGGTTGAGGAGAACAAAGGCATGTTCCACTCTGTGAAGACCATAACTCTGCCTTGCTCTGCTGTGATAGGCCAAGGGTGAAATTTAGTGAGGACAACTGTGAGTTTATATCTTGAGTCATTTCTCACACAAGAGAAAAAGATAGCACAAATAAGCCCCTTGACTCCCTGAAACCATTGGTAGGGATGCTTAAGGCTTAATGCGTCACCAAAAAGTGGCACCAAAGTGACCCATACGAGTGGGAAAAAATGATATAACATTGGTTTCAATTTTCTACAACTCCATATTCCATTTATTCTTCAATTCTCATGCATTCAAATGCCCTGCAGTGTTTCATACCCACCCATTTGTAATATTTAAAAAATATTCATACATTCTAACAATGTTTTGGTCATATTTCCCCCCAATTCTATTGAAAGGGAAATAAAATGAAAGCAGAACAGATACTGAGTTTATTTATTCATTTTTGGCAGCTGGTGGTATACTCAATGTAACCAACAAGGTTTTATTTCTGTAATTTACTTTGGGATTTATTTATCCTTATATTGTATTTAAGCAAGAGCTAGGAAAATGTCTATACTTATAGTCTGATTCAGTGGCCGAGTTCAGACTGGCAGTTTGAAGCGGGAGGGAGTCGTTGCAAAAAAGAGCTGGAACAAACTGTTCTGGGTTTTCCTGGCCACACTGCGTGGACTGATGCAGGAGCATACTGGGAGGAGGCACAAGGGAGCATTCACACTGTTGGCCCGGAGGTGCGGCTGTAAGTGGCATTTTCCTCGTGGCAGACGCCTAGACTCATGGGCGCCTAGGCACAGTGGCAAATAGGGCAGGATCTGGCTGCTCTGGGCCGTAGGCACATCCGGCAACATCACTACCCCCTCTTCAAGGTAATCACCTGCACCTTCCTGGTATCAGAGTGAAGCTAGGAGGTCAGTCAGCATAGCTGGCACACATTATTAACGCGGGCCATTCCCGGCTTTTAGCGGTTAGCATTCACACTTCCGGGAAGCGGAATGAAGCGGGATAAATGGGCTCTCCACAGTTTGCTACCACTTTCACCAGGTATCTTTTAAACCCGGGAGGCAAGTGCTACAAGACGGGTTGAGTACGGGTGGGGAACACTGGACAGATGTGCTTGTGTGAACGGCCCCTTTAATCCGCTTGTGAAATGTTCCTCACATGCGCCTATATCGGGGCAAACTGCCAGTCTGAACTTGGCCAGTTCCTTTTAAACTGTTCTACTGAAAATGTTTTAATAGCTGCATCCTGAAGTTTACACTATTTTATTTTGAAGACCTGTTCAGTTAGTATTAGCACCAACACAATGAGTAATTCTGGGTTAATGTTTGGAGGTAGCACCACTCACCGCTTCCTGTTCTTCGCTTTTGCTTGGACTTTCAAAACCCTCTTCAAAGAGGTCATCTGCAGCAGGGTCACTGGTGTGGGATGCTGAGGATTTGGATGGAGAACTTTGTCTAGGAGCAGGAGTGGGAGCTAAAGACATCAGCAAGAAATTGCGTCAGTACTAAACATCCTCTTAGCACCTGCTGAAGTTTTGTTGGAGGAGGCTGTGTGGACCTGGGTGGACCTGATTACTGCTTTCCCACTGTGTTACTTCAAATCTGTTTGCAAATACTGAGCAACCACATCACACATATATTATGACAAATATGTCAACAAAGTAAGTACTTGGTCAATTTTCTTTTTATAATTACATAGTGCTACTACTGCATAGTGAGACTATTAATGTCAACCTGACAGTCACACAGTTTTTCTAAATATTAATACAGTTGGAATGTGTTCCTTTTTAAAAACAGCTGATGCTCACTGACACACTGACACATTAACTGGTCTGGTTAGCAGTGGTACACCGGATATCTCCTGTCAGAGGGAATGCAGTTAGGTAAAGTTGTAGCAGTGCAGTGATGATGACCCAGAACAAATTACTGTCACAGCTTCAAACCAAAATGTCTAAGCTTAGACTACAAAGAAAAATGTCACTGTCTTGCATACAAATTCTGTTATCAGCAGTACAAAGCAAGACAAAAAGTCTAAATTTAGGGTCAGTTCACACAAAATGTTTTTGCAACAATGTTATCACAATAATTGTGTAAGGTTGATTAATTACTAAACCAAAATCAGCAATCCCCAATTGTCCCACATGTAACAACCACTGGGGGGGGGAACCTAGAGCATGTCACTACAAATTTCTGTAAGACATAGGAATACTGATGAAAATACCAGCTCTAGATGATTACAGGAAAGACAGGTCTTATGCTTATTACACTGTCTTTCAAAAATTAAATTCCCTAAAGTAATCTATAATAGCAGTTTTCCATGGGCTTTGGTGTGGTTATCCTTAACTGTATGTTTCTCCAGCTTTAAAGACACTTTTAATTATATACAAGGGCTCTTATGACCATGCCTGTGCTCCACATGGGTACAGCTCAGAAAAGGGAAACATTTTGTAGAAAGTTGCAGGAGAAAAAATGGGTGTACTCACGTGAGTTCGTTGATGGCGTTGTAGAAGTCACAGGAGTCAAATTTAACTGAGAGATGTCAAAGTCATCACAATCATCTGCTTCCTGTGCCATCCCAACTTTGTTAAAGTAACTGGAGAAGGCCTCTGAGGTACAACTGAGGGAAGGCTGATCTGGTTTTCGTGATGGCACTGGCGGAGGCTGAGCCATCTGGAAATCTTTAAATATTTCTTTTCCTGCCTTTTGCCTAGGCCTATCTGTCTGTGGACTTGCTCTGGTGGAATCACTTGTAGGTGGAACAGTAGCAATGGGAGCAACGGTACCTTGAAACATGGCTGCTTGTAAAGGCAAAACAGTTTGTGTTGGCATGAAGGCAGCAGGCTGAAACTGACCAGCTACAGATGGCCATGGTTGCTGGGTGGGAGAAAATATCCCAGGCTGTCCCCATGCAATTGACTGTCCTCCTTGCATCACCTGAGCAACTGGAGGCTGAGCACCCATGGCCAGTGGTTGTTGAACCAGTGGTTGTTGTCCCCAGAAGGAGGGCAGGACAGCTCCCATTGCAACATAACCTTCAGGGGAAAGAGAGTGGGTATAATTTCAGAACAGGAATAGCAAAAACAGGGCACCGAAGGAAGAAAAGTCGTGTAGATATACAAATGAGGAATCAAAGGGACTTTGTAGAGATGTCTTCTGCTGAAACACTAACAGCTCCACTAAAATTGTGCCTGATGGCAAAGATTACAGAGGCATGTTAACATGTTATTTTTATTCCTGGACCATGTGCAAAACTAAATTATCTTAATAGGGATGTATTCTCTTTTACATAACTGCAAGAAAAAAGGTTTCTCAATATGCCATGTTTGCCTCTCCTCTTGAACTCTATCCACTTTTCCAGAAGATCTAGAATGCTCTTGTACTCACCCAGACAGACCAGGGCTTACTTGTACTTTGCTGAGGAAAGCTCAG